ATCAAAGATGTCACCACTATTATCGAATTTGGAATTAAAAGAGTCTGTACTATCGACCTTGATTGAGTTGGGTAATCGGTTTAGCATCCCCTTAAGGCTCCTGACTACTCAGCCAAGAACTCTGCGTTGACGGTGGCGACACAGTGGGTGTTTTCCAACAACGTACACAGATGACGTGTAACACTGTGTCGTACACAAAGTGTTCCAACTATGGCTGTGTTTCAAAATTGTTTGTCAGCGCTGGCAGTACTGCCAACACCGTTCCAAAAATCATCGTAGCACGCTGTGGCAGTGCTGCGAGAGGGTAAAGACGTCATTAATGTTGTCGTAATTTCCTACTGCGGCTGCTGCGGCTGTCGAGGTGAGGCAGCTACAGCACAAAATGGCGGAAAAGATGGAGGAGTTAATTTTAATCGATGCTGAGAGTAACACTGAGAAACTCAGTGTTTCTGTAGAAGATGCTAGGGTATATCCACAAACTTGCATAGCCGCATAAACATATATATAAAGAAAATTATCCAATTGCAGTTCTCTTTTAAAGTCGTACATAAAATGTGATTGGATAATTTTCTTTATGCATACGTTTATGCGGCTATGTAAGTTTGTGTGGATATACCTTAAGAAAGCAAGAAGTAGTGAGTAGATTTATAATTTTTTTGTAGTCTGCTTTTTGTAGTCACACTTATTTATTCTTATTTCGAATTCAAATACAAAAATTGACATAACCTATGTACAAGAGGAAATCAAAAAGTAAATTTATTTTATTCACATACAATAGGCGTTAACAAAATATGTACATTATTTCTCAATACAATCATTTAGCTTTGCATAAAATTTTGTTTAACAATCTACAAATCTGATTCCATCTATGAACAAACTGGTTTTTGACTATCCTCGAAACATCAATGGTATATACCGTTTCCTTAACTTCCTTAACTTCCTCATTAGTCCCGATCTACAATAGGTGTTTTAAGCCTTATGCCGTAAGAAATTGACCAACTACAGTCAAATGTGAGGAGAATAATTGATTGTGATTCGTCCATTTCTTATGGCTTAAAGCTTAAAAATCTATTGTAGATCCGGGGTTACTATTACGATCTTTGTGCTTCGAGCAAATTGGTTTCCATTTATTTGTACCTTCGGTATTCTTGGTTGACGTTCGCAATAATTATATATAATTTCCGCTAATTCTGAATCTGAATCACTAGACTCTTCATCACTAGAATCAAGTGCTAACTTTATAATAGTTTCAAATACGAATTTTTTCTGTATGCTTCTCTCCATATTTCTAGGTTACTTGTTTCTTTTCGCTGACGTCGCTATATGCTGACAGCACTGAAAATATCGTTCCAAAATGAAAGCTGCGTTTGCATAAAAAGCATGCTTATGAAATTGGAACACTATTGGTAGCATGCACTTATGACGACATGCTCGCAGCGCTGACAAACAATTTTGGAACACAGCCATAGGTTCCGCGCACAAAGATGGTCGCAACTGAGTCGTAGTCGTAAGTCGTTGTCGTAGGTCAACGCACAAGGATTTTACGTATGTCGTTTACGTATATCCTATTGCGCCAGTTGTTTGCGTCAACTGACGCAATAGGATATACATAAACGACATACGTAAAATCCTTGTGCGTTGACCTACGATAACGACTTAAGCGGGGAGCACAGACTCTTGCATAACGCATAACACATGAGGCATAAGAAATTGAATCAACCAGAGTTCTCTATTACATGGAAGGTGTTACGTCTCGAGGGAGCACCGGCCGGCCTCCGGTATCGGCGCTATCCTGAGGC